ATCTCTTTCCCGTAGGGTTTGTAGTCTTTCCATAACATAGTGGAATGGTCATGTGTATTTAAAACTAGACTTCCCTGAAAATGATCCCTATTAATTTTACATTCTAAATGTTTGAAGACCATAGTGAAGAAGTTTCACAATTCTCTTTAAGTATTAAATATTGGTGTAAAATTGTTTAGGGGGATATAGAATATTTTCCAACTATTAATATGAAGTTCATGATTTTTTTATTTTTTAGATGTCTTTTCTACACATGTGACCAAGGAATTACCAGCAAGGGACATCATTGATAAAGGGTCATTTTTCCAGAGAGTGATGTTGGAAAGAAATGATTTTCCTGGCATTGAGGATTTTCAGTTCATGCAAGTCATGGAAAATGTGCATGAGTGTGAGAGTCAGTGGAGAGGAGGTGAAAGAAATAACAGAGTGACTATGGCCCATAACAAGATGTTCTCAGGTAGAGATCAACATGTTAAAACAGAGGCAGGAAACAAGTACATGACAGTTTTTCATAACTCACTTGCATTAAGCTTCTCGTCACATGTGACTGACATGCAGACGTGTCACACTGGACAGACAATGTCTGCATGCCATCAGCTGGAGACGGCTATCAACAATGGATCCTCACTGTCATCTCTCCCCAGTATTTCACCTACTATCCAAAGCAGCATTTCTAATGACTGTGGGGGAATGTTCATGCATCCTTCTTTGTTTACAGCACACCAGAAAACTCATAGCAGAGAGAAACCTTACAAATGTAATGATTGTGGCAAAACTTTTAACTGGAGCTCAAACCTCACTAAACATCAAAGAATCCATACTGGGGAGAAACCTTATAAATGTAATTTGTGTGGCAAAGTTTTCACTCAACGTTCCAGCCTGAAAAGTCACTACACTATTCATAGTAGAGAGAAACCTTTCCAATGTATTGAATGTGGTAAGGCTTTCTCTGGAAGATCAACACTTGTGGAGCATCAACGAACTCATAGTGGAGAAAAACCTTATGAATGTAATGAATGTGGCAAGGCTTTTACACGAAAATCGGGTCTTCTGAAACATCAGCAAATTCATAGCGGAGAGAAACTGTACAAATGTAGTGAATGTGGCAGAGCTTTTAACACTCCATCAAACCTTTGGAATCATAAGAAAATTCACACCGGAGAGCAAAAGTACAGATGCAATGAATGTGGAAAAGCCTTTAAATGGGGCTCAAACCTCACCAGACACCAGAGAATCCACATTCTAGGAAAACCATATAAGTGTGATCTGTGTGCCAAGAGCTTTAGTCATCCTGCAAGCCTTAGAACTCATCAGAGATGCCATACTGGAGAAAGACCTTTCAAATGTATTGAATGTGACAAGGCCTTTACCCAGAAGTCGGGTCTTGTAGAGCATCAGCGAATTCACAGCAGAGAAAAACCGTACAAGTGCAGTGAATGTGGTAAGACTTTTAGCAGTAGATCAGTCTTTCGGAAACATAAGATAATTCATACTGGAGAGAGTCCTTACAAATGCATTGAATGTGGTAAGGCCTTTTCTGAGAGATTAAAACTTGTGGAACACCAGCGAATTCATAGCGGAGAGAAACCTTACAAATGTATTGAATGTGGTAAGGCTTTTACCCGAAAATCAGGTTTTTTGGAACATCAGCATATTCATAGTAGAGAGAAACCTTACAAATGTATTGAATGCGGGAAGGCTTTTACCCGAAAAACAGCTCTTTTTGAACATCAACATATTCATAGTGGAGAGAAACCTTACAGATGTATTGAATGTGGTAAAGCCTTTGCCCGAAAATCGGGCCTTTTGAAACATCAGCGAATTCATAGTGGAGAGAAGCCTTACAAAAATAATGAATGTGACAGGGCTTTTTACAGTTCATCAATCCTGTGGGAACATAATCAGATTTATACTGGAGATTTTAGCCAAGCAGTAGGCCTATGATTTAATAAAAACAACAAGGAGTAGTGTACTCCTCAATACAGTAATCTAATATAAGACCCAAATGGCAGCAAATGCATAAAATCAAAGCTCAGAAGGGAGGAAGGGAGGAAAGGGACAAGTGGAACTCACGAGGAAGTGGGAAGAAGGCTTTTACATCGAGGGGATTGTAGCCAGTGCCTTGGAACAAAATGTGTGTAAATTATCGATTGGGAAAGTGATTTATAAACTTTTTTTTTTAATTTATAAACTCACCACAACTGCAATAAAAAGTTTTAACAAGTGAATGTGGCATGGGGGTAGTATATAAAGCCTTTGTCACATGTTTTATATTTACATAGATACATTTGTTAAACTTACGTATAAATTTATTACATATATATGTAATGTGACAAAGGCTTAATCAGGTTTCCTCAGACTTTTTAAACGGGGTCAGTTCACTGTCCCTCAGACCTGTTGGAGGGCCGGACTACAGTTTAAATAAAAACTATATGAACAAATTCCTATGCACACTGCACATATCTTATTTTGAAGTAAAAAAAACAAACGGCAAAAACACCCGGCGGGCCACATGTGGCCCGCAGGCCGTAGTTTGAGGACACCTGGTTTAAGTCATGGTGAAAGCCTCAGATCTCCTTAGAATAATCCTGGAGAGAATTATTATAAATAGTCATGCAGTGAATGTGGGAAAGCACTTAACCAGGATCCAAGTCTCACTAATTAGAGGATTTATACCATACAAAAAACTCAGAGTTGTGAGTGTGATAAAATCTCTTGATTTTACCAAGAGATGAAATCTTGAGGGACTTCAGAGGTTTTACTTGAGAAAGCCTTCCCCGTAATAAGTGGCATGGCAAACCTTTATGTCAGGGTCAGGAGTCACTAGACATCGATGAGTTTACACCTGAAGACCCAAACCACACCGCCGTCAAGTCAATTCTCAACCAACCCTCTGAAGAGTTTCCAAAGCTTAAATTTTTTTTAATCATTTTATTGGGGGTTTATACAACTCATCACCATACATACATCAATTGTATAAAGCACATTTGTACATTCATTACCCTCATCCTCAAAACATTTGCTCTCCACTTAAGCCCCTGGCATCTGCTCATTTTCCCCCTCCCTCCCTCATGAACCCTTGATAATTTATAAATTATTATTTTTTGTCATATCTTACGCTGTCTGACATCTCCCTTCACCCACTTTTCTGTTGTCCGTCCCCCAGGGAGGAGTTTATATGTAGATCCTTGTAATCGGTTCCCCCTTTCTACCCCACCCTCCCAGTATCACCTCTCCAAAGCTTTAAACTTTTATCGGACCAAACAGCCTCTTTCTCCTGAGTACCAGCTGGTGGGTTTGGAACTACTGACCTCGTGGTTAGCAGTCCAGCACTTATCTGATAGTGCTACCACAGCTAATGAAATTGTGTAAATGCAATGTATATGGCAAATTTGATATTTATGAACCATCTCAGAATTCAAAGTGGAGAAGACCCTGATACATTACAGTTAATTCTCGCAACAGACTGCTGCGAAGACAGCTGGGCAGTCAGATCTGACCTTTGGTTACTCAAAAGAGAAGGAGAATCCAACTCACCGGCCCAAGGCCGATTGCCACCAAGGGCTCAGACAAGCCTCTCCCCTCCACACTCTGACACTAAAGGTTCCTCCCGCAGCACTCTGCTGGGTTTGATCATGTGTAGCTGTGACCACACGGTGATCAGACATTAGCCATGACTGGGGAGTTTTATTTGGGAAGTTAACAGGTGACCACAAACCACAATCAGAAAACCTCAAGGACACAGGGACTGCTCCACAGCCTTGTCTCAGCCAGCAGCCAAGTCTCTCTGGTTCTCAGACTGTCACAGGGTCCCTTGGCCTGTGCCTCCTCAGACCAGGAAGCCTACCTGGTGCTCTGCCTCACTCTCACATGGTCTCAACGGTGCCAGTGGGGCTCCTCTGCCACTTCAGGCAGGGTTTTACAGGTGCTCCACTTCTGACTCTTGGAAGTGCCGATGGGAATCTGTCCCTGCTTCTGACTGACGTGGCTCTCACCCTCAGAAGCCTGGCAGAACTGACCAACCTTCAAGTTAGAGTGCCCTACACCTTATTTGCATTGTCTCAACCAATCATTTGGTGGGAATTACAAAGAAATAGAAGGGTCATAAGTCGTTTCACTTTACTATGACTACATCAGAATTCATACAAGGGAGAACTCCAGTCTTGAACAATCAACCTGTGATACTGTATAATATAATGATTGTGATGGTCTGTTAAAGCCTATGAGATGTGAAAGGACCATTTATCTCAGTAATAAACTTTTTATGCAATTTAGTTGAAATGTCTGGAAATGGCTACCTTCTGTTTTGTGCTTGAAGTTCGGAATGTGTTACCATGACTTCCAATCGTCTGTGCTGTGCCATTCCATCCGACACGAGCCACGCTCCGTTTCCTTTTCCACTGTTCCCTCCCTCGGCCCTTCTCTGCAACTTCCCCCAGAATTGTTCTTACGGTTAAGTGGTTTTTTAAGGAGGTAGCATGGTTTAATACAGGATCAGGTTTCCGAAGCATGTAAGTAGAATCAGGAAGGCTTCCTGGCCTTGAGAGCATGTCACTGGCCAGTGCAGGACAGCTCACTTTCAGGCACGAAAGCAAGCAAGTCTTTGGCATGCATATCCCTCGGCACCCTTTCTTGGTTACAAGCCTAGCTTGAGCAATGACATCATACATTCCATGTCCTCTGAATCTGGCTTCAGTTTCCCATAATATACAGGCCTATCAGATGCACATGCTGAGATGGTATAATAATAGCTCCCTAGAACCACCAACCATAGATCAAAGTGCAGCATTTACCAGACATATCAGAATGCAGGAGAGAAAAAGGAAAGGACATGAAAATGGAAAATGGGGAAAAAGCAGAGTTGTTAATTTGTAGGGATTGCAATAAAAAGTAGTACAAGTTTAATAAATCAGTTTGATTTATAGTAGTTCATGGAAATCAAATAGAAAGTTGTACAAAAGAAAATTCAAGCCCTACCCAGAACCTTGGAAGTTAAATATATATATATATATATTTTTTTTAATTTATTTATATATATGTATATATTGCATTTGAGACCCCATGCATAACCACGTAACTCAGAACAGGATATTTGCATTTGATGAATGCAATGAGGAGCAATTTTGAATTTTGAACCTCCAGCAGTTTACTGGAAATCAGTTTACTGAAAAATCACAATACCTTCGCCAACTGGAAGTTGAAAGGACCCAGTAAGTAGACAACCTGGTACACTTGCTTGAGGTGGCTCCCTGTAGCCACCAAATGAGTAGAAATGGGAGTTGTGGGGGAGGTGCAGAGCTCAGCAATGAAGAGACAAGATGTTTGAACATACCCCATGGCACCTGTTGACCTCGCTCACATGAACTAGAAATGAGAGCGAGGGAGCTGACACTGTCTGAAGTTCCGCGAGTTAGTGGATACCCGAACCTCTGGGTGGTGCCCACCAACCTAGCCTGTAGGGGCTAGGGATGAGGGATAAATGACTGGCTATTCCGAAGTGCAGAGAAGTTTGTGGATCCTCAAAACTATTGCCAGGATCCCATTGACCTAGCCTGGCTGGCTATGGATGAACTAACCCTAACCTGAGCATATGAGAGCTGGTTGACACTGATGTCATGTAAATTACTGTACTCTGGTCACTTTCTCTGGACTGGAATTTGCTACGGATATAAATGCTCAAAGTTCCAACTTCTTGTCTCAGACACTGGTTTGATTCTCTCAACTCACTGCCATGGAATCAGTGCTGACTGAGGGGCCTTTAGTCTGGATTGACCAGAGAAACCAATTTGATAGACACTCATGTGTAAGAAAGAGCTTTATATAAAGAGTAATTGTATATTAAGAAAACATCCCAGTCCAGATCAAGTCCATAAGTCCACTATTAGCCCATATGTCCACTACCAGTCTATAAATTCATCTTCAGACACACAACACATGCAATGACGCTGAGTGCAGGAAGGGGACAGGCCAGTGGGTGGAAAGTCTTGTGGATCCAGTGGCAGTGGGAGCATCTCAGCACTGGTGTGGGTCTCCACATGGCTTCTCCAGCTCCAGGGCTCTTGCTCTATCAGCATAGCTCCATGTGGCTTCTCAAGAGGAATGTCTCACAGGGAGTGAGTGTACCTGGCCTCCAGTGAGCTATTTATCTCTGTCATGCCTCAAATAAGGTCATCAAGCTGCGACCTGATTGACAGGCTACACTCCACCCCTTCATTCTAAATATTCTCAAGTTGACACCAATTATGTAACTACCACAACTACCTTGGTTTCTGAGACTAACTGCTTTGATAGCAATGGGCAATTTCAATATTGGCAACCTATGACAAAGGAGAGAGAAAGATGAAGTGTACACATTTTTGAGTGTATAAAAATGGAATGGAAACAATGTTTGACCTCTACACAAGGGGTGAGGAGGGGAATTGGCACCAGCATCACCCCAATGCCAAGTATTTCTGGAGTCAAAGGTCATAACATAGATCCACACTCCAACCTTGACCAATGCTGATACCAAACATCCACCCCACAGCCATCCATCTGCTCTGCTGGGTTTATAACCCATTGCAAGGGCCGCCGAGAACCCAAAGATAGTACTCATGATTATGGGCTTTATTGGGGAAGTAGGTTACAATTCAGAGTGACACGTGCTCAGGATACACGTATTTTATCAGCATCTTAACAGCCATTCTTACAGGCAGGCTACTCTAATTCTTGGTCTAGGCAAGTGACAAACTGCTCTTTTGACTTTGATGAGAAATGCCCCCAAAGCACTCCGCTGGGACTGTAAGCTTTCTGCCATAAAACACAGCTTTCTCCTTCCATGGACCAGGGAATCCACCACCCTGTCTGCGACTGCTCGACTGTTGCCGCCACCACTTCTCTGCTTCTGTTCATCATCTCTTGCTGTCTGCCCAATTTGAATTGTTGCATTCTTTAGTAAAATTCCTTTTCTGTGTACTCCAAACAATGAGAGATTTGGTTCTTCAACAGAGTGCTGATTTGGATTTTCACTATTGACCCCGAATCTAGGAATTTTGATTAAAGCTTTATGATTGTATTATGCCATAAAAAAAGATTGAAAGTAGAAATGAGGCTATTGGAAACATGATCATCTAACATCCTTTATATAAAAGAGAATAAGCTTCCCTTCAAAATTCATTTTATATGGCTTCTACACCAGAAAGAATATTTGGAATTAGGAATTTTTTTAATAATAATTTGAATTACTGTAGGTACTATCCATAACAATTTTTAACTTTAAA